TTAGGAGATTCACTCTCTTTCAAGACAAAGTTTATATCAGCAATTTTTAGGGTAAACTCAATATCTTGCTTTCATCTCTCATAATTAGAAACAATCAAGATTTCAATGTTGACATTATTATTATTATTCATAGCAAAAGAGACCGTTCAAGACAACGAGAATATAAATAATTAACAAAATTGGGCAATAAATAAATAAAATATGTTTTGAACATAATAAGTCATATTTTATTAAGAGAGTCCAAATACATTACTATAAACTCCCCTTTGGGCAGAGAATACAAGATGTTATAGGTCCTCTTTTTCATGAAACTAACCAATTAGAATGCTCAAGTTTTAAAAAATTTATCCCTTTTGAGCAGATAAATATTTTAGACTATTGCACCTCTACCACAATGTTTCATGACATTTCTAAATTACAATACACAATAACCTCCTTTGGGCAGGTAATTATATATTATAATTTAGAGACTATCCCGTAACAAAAGCATGAGAAAACCTATAAATTTTAATGAATAGACCACTTTGATGGTAACCATTCATCTTAACTCATATAATTTGTTGAAATCAGAATATTTTCATGACATCTTTAAATTACAATATACAACAACCCCTTTTGGACAAATAATTATATATTATAATTTAAAAACTATCCCGTAACAAAAATATGAGAACAATCTATAAATTTTAATAAATGGACCACTTTGGTGGCAACCATTCATCTTAACACATAAAATTTCTCAAATCGGGATATTATAACAAATTGTCCATAATTAAATATCATGTGATCAATCAATATGAGGTATTAACCAATATATACCTCTATAGATCACTCATTATCAATTGTTGCATTCAAGTCTCAATTTTATTTTTATTATTAAAATTAAATAATTTAAATTCACATCTATCAACATTGAATGAATAATATGTAGATTATAAAAAAAATTTATCATATAAATCACTAGAGACTAAATTTAGAATTGTATAAATACCCTCTACAAATTATAGTAATTCAATCAAAGTTGCATCAATATAAGAAAATAATTTGTATGGATAAAACATATGTCTATTTGTCAACAAGACCAATAAATAATTAATAAAAATTTAATAGGCTGATCGAATATGACATAATCAAATAAAATATCAACCCCACCGTAATAACATTAATCTTAAAAAAAAATCTTATAGGAATCGTGAATACAAAAATTATTTGATATACAGAACCAATTCAAATCAAATCCCTTAATCAAGTTATATTTATATATATAATTGGATTAAAATCCAATATAACCATCAATTAAAATATATATATATATATATATATATATATATTGATTGCAGTATAGCCACCAAACCATTCAAGAAAAATCTGAAGGTCAGTTAGTTTATATTGCCCATGATTGATGGCAATATAGCCGCCAAATCATTCAAGAAAGATGTGAAAGACAATTAGTTTATATATATATATAAAAGTATAGCCGCCAAACTAAGGAGCTTTGTCAACCCTACACTTTTTTGTTGTTTTCTTCTACGTGAAAGATTTTTCTTGTTTTGACTTTGTTTTTTGTTAGCCTTTTGTTGTAGTTTTTGATCAACGACGTCTGCCGTCTTATGTTTATCACAGCCATGGACGGTGACACAAAAAAAAAAAAAAATTGAATTCTAAGCTCGAGTCATAAAATTGTAATATAAAATTTATCGAGTTTTAAATTTATATGCAATAGATTCTCATAACACATGTAAGAAATTTTAATAATTCGTATATGAAATTTAGAACACATAAATTACAAGGTTTAGAACATACTTGTATGAGTCAAGATATTCGATTCTTTCGCGGAAGGACAAAGTCTTCCTCTCCTTCTTCAAAGCAATAAGCGACTCTCAATGGGACAAGTCAATTTAAGGTTATGAAGTGGAGAGAGGACCTTGACTGTTATTATAATGAAATCTAATGAGCTCTCCTATTACGGGCTACAATTAGATTAAGACCTACACTTAACCGCATCAACCACATCAATTAGAAGATGCGTATAAGCCCATCAAAATAGATCATTAAATAATATTGAGTTCATCTTATTAGACCATAAATTCAGTCTATTTTTCACAAACTAAAATTAACTATCAATTAATGGCAGTCCAATATAAGAAAAATATCAACATATTTATCCTTTCATATTTTCAGTCATCAATCTATATGAATCGTTATCCTAATATTTTATGAAAGATCCTTAACATTGAGGAAGAAGATAGTGATGGATTGGATATGTTGTATGCTGCAACCAGAAGGTCAGAACGGTCTAGTCAGGGATAGATAAGAAGACATTGTGGTTTCGTTCCAAACCACAAAACAGTTAATCATGGTAGAGTTGAAGATTACGAAAGACTCTACCGTGACTATTTTGCTACCCCTTGTCTATATGAAAGCTTTTTCCAAAAGAGGTTTCAAATGAGCCGTCCTCTTTTTCTATGAATTGTAAATGAGATTGAACAACACGATCCATACTTTATCCAAACAACATATGTCATTGAAGTTCTCAATTTGTCATCCCTTCAGAAGATAACAGTTGTTTATAAAATTCTTGCTTATAGAACATCGATAAATTCTGTGGATGAATAAATTAGAATTGAAGAAAGCATTGTCATACAAAGATTGAAAAAGTTTGTGAAAACTGTTATTACAGTGTTTAACGATTATTACCTGAGGTCACAAAACAATAGAGATATTACTCGATTCCTACAGACGGGGGAACAATGTGACTTTTTCGGCATGTTTAGGAGTATTGATTGCATACATTGGAAGTGAAAAACATTTGATTTTTGTACGAAAAGATATTTGGTTTAATAGTATTCCTTATCTTATGAATAATTTATTTTCTTGAGGTGAAAGAATTATCTAATCAAAAACTACCACATGTTAGTCTAACAACTTTTTGTATTCTAGCTTTCTTTTTGGGTGCTATTGGAAAGAAAATAGTCTCACCAAGGTGCTCTTCCAAAAGAAGTGCTTGTTCCGTAAAACAGAGATCATCTAATCATGTTTTGTATGGGGAAAGGTTCAAAACTATTTACAAGAACAGTAATCCTATGCTTATCAAAATTTTTATCAAAAAATATTTTTACCAACTGAGTTGGTAGCTCCATATCCGATCAAAATTATTCTAATCAGCATTTGATGGGTCTAAAAGTGATATGGAGCTGCCAACTCATTTGATAAAAGTATTTTTAAAAAAAATTTTTGGTAAACATAACATTACTTTTACAAGAATGAGAGCTTCCCTCAATTTGTTTTGATCCTGGAAGTGAGAAATCACAACTCAGTGAATCATATAAAAAGCAGTTTTTTCACGTTACGATTCCATACTTGGTTTTTTTTGAGAAAGATATTTAATTTTCTGAATTAAACCATAAAATTATCAAAGAGGAAAACATCAAAAATAAAAATAAAATAAACAATAGCTTAATTGGATCAAACTAAAAAACTATTCATACCAAAAATATCCCTCAAAAGTTGCATGTGGCATCCACATGGTATTTTTCATTTCTTTTTTTAATGGCAGTTGGCACTAAGGACCACAATAGCTCAATGTTTGAATTTTGGGAATGAAATTAACGAAATTAAAATTTTAAGGATCAAAGTGCAATGAGCAATAAACCTCAGGGGCCATTGATATAATTTACCCACTAAAAAAACAGAACTTATTGGGTCCTACTGAAAATTCATAACACCTCCCCCCCCTCCCCTCCCTCTTCTTTCACTCTCTCTGTCTCTCTCTGAGTGTAAGTGAAGGCCGCAAAGTCACCCTTCTACGGTCTCCTCATCTCTGCGCTTTGCTAGATCTCCCGCTATCCATTTAGTTCTCTCTCTCTCTCTCTAAAAATATATTAGCAGGTGCGTATAGAATTAGTAGCTAATCAATTTGGTTATAGGATTGTTTGCTTTGACACGTGAATGACAGGTGTTCAACAGAATTACTCAACGATAGCATATTGCTTGTGCTTGTTTTTCAGCTTGGATTTTGTTCTTTTGTGCAGATTGGAGCTTTGTTAGCTTTTTCTAAGTCGTAATAGTATTGTATACCCATACCCACATTGGTTAATACACACACACGCATAGTGCTTTTAGGTGTAATTAGAGGATTTTATCCAACCCTTCTTATCGAAATTGAACCTATACATGCATTTTTGGTGTTTTTCCTTCTATGTTGTTGTTCTGAAAATCCATGGTGTTTGTGTTTAGGGAAAAACTTTAATCTAAACTCAGTCGAATGCTGCAATTTATTCTGCTACTTGAATAAAAAGTGATGCTTTTCAGTTGGGTGTACTGGAGAAGAATATTTTAAGTTGACTTTTGAGCTTTTCCTCTTGACTTCTTTGAACAAAAGGGTTGAAATTTTTGATGAAAATTTGATGCTTATGTTGATTGAATTGAAGTTAAATTTTGGATGCTCATACAGTACACACCTTGCACTTCCAGACTGTTTTTACTTAAATTTCTGCAAGTAACTCATTGTGCATCTAAATATAGAGGGATACTGTCACAAAGTGTTCTTCTCTTCAATTGTTTAGGATTGCGCATTAAAATTGTTGAGAACACGTACAAAGTCTTCGTTTTAATGGCATTGTGAAAAACTGTCGTGGCAAAAAACTGCCAAAACTGTCCACCATTCTGCCCTTGCACTTCTTGCTGCTTTGAGTTACTGTTAGAACACACCAGTAATGCATAAAGCTTTTATAGAAATAGATTGTGAATGGTAGTTTCCTTATGATTCCCAGCCCACCTCCCACACACGTGAAAAGAAAAGGCCACCACCAATGGAAGAATCTATTATTTGCTCTTTCCTCAATCAATCAATTGTAAGTCAAACAGTTTTTGGTGCCATGATTACTGATTATATTAGAAGTCCTTGTACAGGATCAATCATAAACTTGTTTGACTTTTGGTGAAGTCCTCAAATACAAGGAGCCATTGGAATTTGATCTTCAACGTTTTTATGGTTAAAAATGGATGATGATGATGAGTTTTCTATGCCAGAAGATATCCATTGGCCACTGTTTACTGCTTCAAGCTCATCTACCATCGAAAAAGCCCTAACACATCTCATACAAGTTGCCAGAGGTGCTGGTGGACGCGCAGACCTTGCTTCCAAGAATATCTTAACTACAGTCCTTCAGCTCTGCCGAACTCTCTCCTACACTTCTAATCGTCACCTTCTTCTTTTGTCTCTAAAACTCCTCAGAAACTTATGTGCCGGAGAAATAAGTAATCAGAACTCATTTATTCAACAAAATGGAGTTCAGATTGTTTCAGGTATTTTCAATTCTGTTGGGCTTGTTTCTGAGTCAGATTATGAGATCGTTAAAACCGGTCTGCAAGTTCTGGGAAATGTCTCGTTGGCTGGAGAAGACCATCAGCATACTGTTTGGCATCAATTCTTTCCACTTGAGGTTTCCAAGATCGCAAGAGTGCGGAGCAGGGAGACCTGTGATCCTTTGTGTATGGTTATTTATACATGTTGTGAAGGAAGTCATGGATTATCTGCAGAGTTAGGTACTGATCAAGGGTTGCATATTGTGGCAGAGATTACAGAGACTGCCTCAGCAGGTATTCGCTGTTACTTTTACTTGTGTGTTGTTTTCACTATATACTCCATGCCCTTTTTTCAATTACATATTTATAAATTGACATATATCTGAAATGCTCTGAGTTACATTGCACTTTGTGTTTTACCAGTTGGTTTCCGAGGAGATTGGTTAAAATTGCTTATCTCAAGAATTTGCCTTGAGAAATGTCACTTCTCACAACTCTTCTCTAAACTATGTCTGATTGGTAATTCTGGAACTAGTAATGATATCATGTCCGGAGTTGATCATTTTGTACCTGAACTAGCATTTTTGTTGAGTATCCTATCAGAGATCTTGAATGAGCGAATCAGAAATATAGCTGTTTCCAATGCATTTGCTCTGTATCTTCTTGGAATATTTAGAAGTGCCATTGGGGGTGTTGATTTTTCATCAAAAGGGGAGTCAGGTCTTCCAACAGGATCTGCTGCTATTGATGCTCTTGGATATTCCCTCATCATTTTAAGAGATATCTGTGCAAGTGATGGTCTACGATGTTTCAAAGGGTAGGATACTGCAGATGTTGTTGATGTGCTTCTATCCTCAGGACTACTGGAACTTCTTTTAAGCTGCCTCCGGGAACTTGAGCCTCCAGCAATTATTAGGAAAACAATAAATCTAAGTGATAACCAAGAGAGATCAACTCATTTCTCATCAGAGGAGAACCACAAAGCAACATCATATTTGCCCAAGTTTTGTCCATACAAAGGATTTCGGCAGGACCTTGTTGCCGTCATTGGCAATTGTGTGTACCAAAGGAAGCATGTTCAAGATGAAATTAGACAGAGGAAGGCAATTCTTCTGTTATTACAACAGTGTGTCACTGATGAAGATAATCCATTTTTAAGGGAGTGGGGCATCTGGTCAGTCCGGAATCTTCTGGAAGGCAATGTAGAAAACCAACGAGTAGTAAGTGACTTGGAGCTTCAAGGATCTGTCGATGTGCCTGAAATTGTTGGACTTGGTCTTCGCGTTGAGGTGGATAAAAAAACTGGCTGTGCAAAGCTTGTAAATGCCTGATGGTGGTGTCCAAAACGAGAATCTAAATTCGCCCCAAATGGAGTTGTTTACCTTTTTCGTGGCTTTCACTATCTCCAGTATAATCTCCATTATACTAAGGCCAGACGCTAGGGTATATAGGAAACCTGGAAACCTTCGGCAGAGGCTGCAAGTTTTATCTGCCAGGCTGATTTTTCACTGTTGGATACATTGCCAGTGCCTTACCAAATTGCATTAACGTAAAAAATAAGGGGAAGTGTGACAGCTGACAATTAATTGGCTATAGCGTCGTGCATACTGCAAGACCTCAAGCTATTTCCTTAAGATTTGTATTGAATGAAATAAATTATCAGATGCACACTGTTACCCTTTATTGTGGCATGTGTGAAATACTAATTGTCAATTGCTTGTTTCAAATACTGACTGTTTCTTTAGCATACTAGTGCTCATATATTGTACCTGGTTGAAGACCAACTCTGATACATTAACATGTTTAGTTTCTACATCAATGGAGCATACACTTTTTTTTTTCTTTTTTTGAAGAGTGCAACACGACGACTTCCCACAGGGTCACCCATCTTAGTACTACTCTTGGCCAAACACATTTAACTGCAGAGTTCTAATAGGATCTAGTGTATTAGTGGTTATATGATCACAACCAATATATACCTAAGGCCCTCCCATCTAGGAAAAATTAATTTTTCGTCTTGCTTGGTGCTTGAATGCGGCTGTTCCTGATTAATTTGTAATGCACTTCTCTGCACTAAGCATATCTTTGTTGAGAAACAAAATCTATAAGCAACAAAATCAAAGCAGATAGTTCTTTTTTCCCAGCAGTCTGATAACCGTCGTTATCAACTAAAACCCATGCCTGATATGCCTAGATTTGTCAACTTTCCTCTGGTTGTGCTCAAGTTCATATTCGAGTACACACATGATGTAGTACTTGTGCAATCTACTGAGTCTAAATAATGTAAATTTAAGTTTAATGATCGATATTATGCTTAATAAATAGAGTAAAATGTTAGACCCGAGAGAGCGAGAGCGAGAACAATGGAGGGGGAGGAAAACAAAACTGTAGACTGCTAAAATAGCATATCAGCAACTTCTTTCAAAACTTCTTGAGCCAACAGCTTCTTTCATTCCAAATAATCTCTGTATAGCTTTATTTAGGTATACACGGACCTGAGGCGTAATTCAAGAGGCAGCTCATCAAAGAGAATGAACATTCCTTGCTGTTGTCAACCCTCCCGCCATTCCGAAGGAATGGAGTAAGAGATGACTGATCTTACTCAAAGTGGGGTGCAGAGCAGGACCTATTACTCGTTATACCATTGGTGCCCAGAGGCTGGGGCTGTACAGTAAATTAGCATCTAATATCAAAACTTTAACTCAAAAATGCACTTACCAACTCTAATTTAATACTACATTCTTCAACTCGGAAGCTTTGTGCGACATTCCAATTGAGGATTTCAGATTGTTAGATTCTCCTGAATGGCAAGAAAAGATCCAACTATGTTTCCTCCAACATCCGGGAAAGTTTCACATCCAGGAAGGGGTCATACTTTACCTGTCCTATCAACTTCAACGNGAATGGCAAGAAAGGATCCAACTATGTTTCCTCCAACATCCGGGAAAGTTTCACATCCAGGAAGGGATCTTACTTTACCTATCCTATCAACTTCAACGGGGTACTTCATCAGGTGTCCCCTCATTTCTGTTACTTCTTCAGCTGCAAATTGCTTCCAGTTCATCTCACCCATCGATCTTATTCGTCAAACGCATTCTAGAGACTCAGGTCGTGTAAAGCAGTCCTCGATCACCCCCAACATGTTCTACCCACAGAGACATTCTATATCCATAGATCTGCAAAACACACATTCCAATAATAACCAGTCAAATACTGCCATTGGATATATATATATATATACATGGGTCCATGACTCCATGAATATGTATCATTTACTTCAATACAGATTAATTCAAATGAGTTCACCAGCCCTGTTTAAAAGTGTCCTACATTTCGAGAAGTGTAACCCATTTCTACCACCACGAGCCCCCCCCCCCCCCAAAAAAAAAAAAAAAAAAAAAGGAATTTTTCCAACGACTCGATGCTTTATTGCATAATGACTTCTTTCTGGAATATGGTTTTCTGTTCAATGGCAATGAAAAACAAAATGGAACTGCTACTTTTCCGTTGTCTATCCAAACAGCCGCTTGGTAAAGGAGATCGCAAAAAATCATTATCATTCATTTCAGTTTCTCATTGCACTTAAAGATGTTTTAAAAAAATTGGAATGACATGTAACTGCACTGAATGTATCCATTCCAAATGCATAATTGGTAATTAAGTATTTCATGGCTGATGGTACGCTGCATTCCAATTGAGAGGTTTAAAGCAGAATATTTTTCATGAAACCTAAATAGACCTTAAAAGTATCTTGTTTCACATTATTCTATGTCATTAATACAGGTGCAACCACATTTTACCTCCTTGTAATTTGCCCCAGTATTATGTTGCCTCCTTGGTGTTTATAAATATACACATAATCCCCTTGTATTTTAAACTGAAGGGAAACTGTTACATCTCCCATCTAAATTGAAAGAAAGTGTATTGTTGGACTTTTGTGGACTCTAGTTTGTGTGCTGATCTGAATGATAATCATACCCGAAATAATATTGTGTGATTTTTTAATGAAAATTTTTCTGAGGCTTGGGCTTATCTAGCGCTCATGGACAAGTCTTGTGGGGGTTCGAGGGCAACAGCCTGAGAAAAATTTTTTTGGTCTGTTTTGTAACCCAGTGCGCAGAACATATAAAACCTATTGTTTTAGTGATTAGGGTTTATAGAGTTTTGTACAACTGCTCTCTGTATTCATCTCTCTCAATAGTAAAATCCCTACAATTTCGTAAACGTAGACAAATTATCAAACCACGTAAAATGTGTGTCTTGTTCTTTTTTGTTTCTTATTACTTTATGTTTTTGGTTTACTTTTTGATTGTGTGCGTTTGTTTGTGAATTTGTTGGAGTGGATGATAATTCTTTTCCTTCAAAAGATAAAGTTTAAAACGATTAGAAGTTGCATACCCATATAAACCTCGTTTCTCCAATGTCTCTCTCTCCCTCGTAGGATTACCAGGGTTTATTTAAGATTCAAAAAAACAGTGACATCATCCTTTGAGTGGACACTATTGCCATCCTGTACAGAACAACTTGTTAATCTGGGAGGCCATCAACAGACCCTGCTTTCGTTTCCCACATACAAACAGTTTGTCAATGATGATTACTTTTTTAATGTGTCTGTTGACTTATATCTTTCTCATCCTTTTCTCTGACCTCAAGCATGTATATTGACTATGCTCATCTCTCTCCTATTAGTCTTAGCCTGTCCCCCTTAGATTCTCCACCCACCGCAAAGATGTTCTTCCACTTGTACAACCATGATTGAAAAATCACCCCGATTACCTATCTATGCCTAAGAGATGGACTCAAAACTGTTTCTGTGTCTTTGTAAAGACACATTGTGTGAGCCTGCGAGTATGAATTATGTGTTGTGTGAGTATATACGTATGTGAGTGTGCGTGTGTAGCAAGACATTGTGTATCAGGGTCTCTTCGTGTGAAGTATGAAGGGTCTTGTTTGTGGTTTGTAATTTAGAAATGGGCTTCATATGGAGACCCTCTCGGCCTCTAAACATATGGTAAGGGGACTAGACCTAATAACTTACCTTAGCGTCTGCATTTGAAGCTTTGGTCAAGCATTGAATCAAGATTTTGGTGGATTCATAAATATATTGATGGTAACTATCTTGAGTGGTGCTTGTTTGTGCAAATGCACCGGTCTCTATATGTGAGAAATGTGGAGTTTGTGGGAAACGGGTTACTTTTTTGCTTCTTTCTGGGCCTTAGTTGCTAAGGAGTTTCAAGGAACTCCTCTATTTTGTATTTTTGCAGTGTGGAATGCTTCCTGCAATTTTTTGTTTGGTTTCCATGACTGTTGATTTATTATGCTTTGGTTGTACAGCTTGTCCACCTTTTTTGTATCCTTCTTATTTCTTGATTATTCACCAATAAATTATTTGTTGGTTATACCATAACTATTTAGGGACTATGTGTTGCGTTATGGGCTTATGAGATAGTCNTTCGATCAATCTTAAGCCTAATTGTTCATCCTTCTTCATGACATCACATGGTTCTCAGAATCATACTAATTAAAAATACAGTTCCAGTCCATTCAGGCAGTTAGCTAATAGGAAGCAACAATGTCGAGTTATCTACTCNTGCAAATGCACCGGTCTCTATATGTGAGAAATGTGGAGTTTGTGGGAAACGGGTTACTTTTTTGCTTCTTTCTGGGCCTTAGTTGCTAAGGAGTTTCAAGGAACTCCTCTATTTTGTATTTTTGCAGTGTGGAATGCTTCCTGCAATTTTTTGTTTGGTTTCCATGACTGTTGATTTATTATGCTTTGGTTGTACAGCTTGTCCACCTTTTTTGTATCCTTCTTATTTCTTGATTATTCACCAATAAATTATTTGTTGGTTATACCATAACTATTTAGGGACTATGTGTTGCGTTATGGGCTTATGAGATAGTCTAGCATGATAGGTGTGTTATGGCATACTTTGTTGTGAGTAGTGTTCATTGCTTCTAGACCTTAAAGCAAGCTATGGGATCCTGGTGACTCATGTAATGTAAGTTGGCATGTATAGACTTGTCCTTTTGGGGGGCTAAAACCTTTTTTGTTGTCTCTTTTCTTCCTCTTTGAATTAGCTGGATGGCAAAAATCAAATCAAAACTGCTAGGTATGTTCCTTGACCCTTTATTTAACATTTCATCAGGTACAAAAAATACGAGATCCCAAGCAACAAATTGAGATGGTGGGCGTCCCAAAAGAGTACCTATCCGGTCATGCATTCCACATGTATCACCTGGAGTCACCTGATAAAACGTAATAAACGAATCTTTGCTCTTGTGCTTCTCTGTTTGTCTTCCTAGTAAGCATCACTAACTATGTTAGATGTGTTTCCTTTTTTCAGAGTTTCTTTTGAGTTTCAGCATAACGTCTGTGGTAGATCAATCTATGCAGAGGGTACAATTGATGCTGCAATTTTCCTTGCTAAGAAGGTGATAATGCTTGCTTCCTCAAAATGCATCGCTCGAGTAATAGTTATTCACATAATTTAACCATTATTTTGGTTACAACTTTTGTATACTTGTCTTTTTGCCTTTTGCAACATTACATTTGTCAACTATAATCCACCAAATATATCAACGGTATATAATATCCTTTTGGCAACCAATTAAAACTACGAGTATTAAAGAAAATATAACAAAACATGTAATAAAAACTGCTGTTATTATCAAATGCTCCGAGTTTCTCTCACTGTTAAGTTATTTTCTCTTACTAGACTGAATTTGGAAATGTCGTGTAAACTTAGGTTAAATCAAAGACAGACAAATTCATCTACAACATGATAGATGTCTTGCGGGATGGCAACATGAGATGAAAGTTGTGTTCAACTTGCTCTGGAGACATAATAATTTATGTGAAAGGCAACTTTGGATTGATTTTTGTTGGATGCACTCTTTCTTTTTTGTTGTTAGCTCATCTAGATTTAACTATGTTGTTCATTGATCGAGCAAGCACCTTCTATC